AATGGATCACAGAAAAGCCATTCGGCACTTACAGCCGGATGGATCCAAAAAAACCTTCTCTGATGCCCGGACGTTTCTCCAGGAGAAGAGAAATCAGTAGCTGTCTGCGTCGGCCTAAACGTCGACCTTCCCTGACAGCCTCCGCAGTGCCTCCGTCAGACACTCGGAAACAGACCAAGCGGGTCAGTCTCGCGAACCCTCCGCGCGATCTGTTCCCAAAGTGATCCAGCCGGGACAATATGGTCCGCCATATGTACCGGGTGGATCCCCTTTTTCTGCACCAGGCCTCTTCGGGGTCATGGGTAGCAGCCGCTCTAGCCCACGGATTGGCAGCTGCGTCTGCTTAATTTGGGAGAACAGCCTACGGCGTTCTCGCCAAATATAACCCAGGCGGCACAACCGTCCAATATCAAGAATGTGTTGGTAGGTGCCTATGATGGTACCTCCAACCCGGAAGACCACCTAATGGCATACTCCAACCTCATGTATCTACAAGGGTTGGATGACGCCGCCTGGTGTCGATGCTTCTCGGCGACCCAGAAGAAAGGACTTCGGTCCTATGTCAGGCGGTTCAATCTGATGAGAATTTAGATTCAAGGGTTGTCTAACGAAGTTTCTTACACAGACTTCTTCAAGGGTCTGAAGGATGGGTCGACCTTCAAGTTCGACCTCGTCCGGAAAAGGGTAGCCACCCTCCAAGAGGCATTAATGGAAGCAAAAGCCTATATACAGGCGACGGAGCTTTGTGCTGTAAAGCAACCGTCATATTTCAAAAAATCTGACAGAAAAGATAACCGGCCACAACAGCCGGCAAAAAAGGAAGACAAGAGAAAGGGAATCTGGGCGGCAGAACGGTCTGGTTAGCCGGCCTAGAAGGCAAGAAGAAAATCTGAACCGTACGTCCCCAAGTACGAGTTCACGAAGGACTGCTCCTCCATTCTCATGGAAATCAAGGACCGGTTGTCCCTCTAGAAACCGGCCGCCATGAAAAGTCCCGCCAGCAGTCGGGATAAGAGCAAGTACTGCCAATACCATGAGGATGTTGGCCATGACACTAATGGCTGCTACAGTTAGATTGTCTAGCTGACGAGGGAGCTCTAAAGTCCTACCTGCCAAAGCCCAAAGGCAACCCCAAAACAAACAAGGGGCAGGCGACAAAACCCGGCCCTGCTAACTTTGAAACGGATGAAGAGACAGTTTTCACAATAGCAGGCGGTTTTGCCGGTGGAGGCCTAACCATCCGGGGTACAAAAGACAACATCAGGAAGCTGTTCAATTCAGTGGATGAGGGTCAGGCATCGAAAGACACCTTTCCTGAGGTCCTTATTTCTAAAAGGGACCGCGGCAAGGTCAAACGGCCTCACGATGACCCCATCGTCATCGAATGTAAGGTTGCCAACCAGAAGGTTGGCCGGATCTTAATAGATACCGGGAGCTCATCTGACCTAATCAGCTATCAGTGCTTGACAAAGCTCAAGTACAAGCCCACCAGCATGCAACAAGCGCCTCACCCCTTAGTCGGTTTTGGGGGAGGAGTGGTGCATCCGGTAGGAAGCATTGACCTTCCTATCCGGTTGGGTGAAAAGGGGCAAGGATGCCACATGGTCGTCAAGTTCTTAGTTGTGGAGGAACTGACTGCCTACAACATGATATTTGGCCGTCCGACCGTTAACGAGTCCAAGGCTGTCATCATCCCGTCTTTCATGCTGGTCAAATTTGAGAAGGATGATGGTGCAGTCGGTTCCTTAAACGGGGACCAAAAGATGGCTAGAGAGTGCTATCTCTCTGACGTCAAACCAACTATGGGTACATCCGATCAAGGTGAGCCCATAGATGTTGATAACTGCGATCCAGCAGTCTCGGCTCCAAGGGTAGCCGGTAAGAAAAGAAAGGCGGACCAATTGGCACCCGCCAAAAAAGAAAAACAATAGCAATCACTTGCCTGAGAAAGGTCGGATGACTTTCGACCCCAACCGGCAGGTGAGAGCGTTGATGTCGTCCTAGACGACAACCGGCCCGACAGCACCGTCAAGGTTGGGACGGTTGCTTTTAAAGTGTTGGGGGCAGATTTGCTCCAACTGCTGAAGGAATTCAAAGTCATTTTTGCCTTTGAAGTGGAAAAGATGCCAGGCGTAAGCCCGGATCTAGCTGTCCACAAACTCGCCGTGGATCCAAAAAAGAAGCCGGTTAGGCAGAAAAAGAGAAATCATGGCGAGGGGAGATCTCAGGCGACAGCCGCCGAGGTCAAGAAGCTGTTAGATGTTGGGTTCATTCGGCAATGCTACTACCCGGATTGGGTAGCAAACGTTGTCCTGGTTAAAAAGCCAAATGGAACCTGGCGGATGTGTGTAGACTACACGGATCTGAAAAGAGCATGTCCCAAACACAGTTACCCGCTCCCACAGATCGACAGCCTGGTCGACTCTACAGCCGGTCATGCTTTGATGAGCTTCATGGACGCCTACTTAGGCTTCCATCAGATACCCCTCTGGAAAAAAGATCAAGAAAAGACGACATTCGTCAATGTCAGGGGTTGCAGTGATGCCGTTTGGGTTGAAGAATGTGCCTGCTACATTTCAGCGAATGATAAACATAGTTTTCCGTAATCAGATAGGCAGGAATGTAGAGGCGTATATCGATGACATGATAGTCAAATCCAAGCTACAGACGGATCACCTAGCTGACCTCCGAGAAATGTTTACCACACTTAGGCGGCACAAGGTCATGCTTAACCCTAAGAAGTGTGTCTTTGGTGTTGAGTCTGGGAAGTTCCTCGGATTTCTGATTGACCAAAGGGGGATTGAGGCTAATCCGGAAAAGGTACAGGCGGTTATTGACATGCAGTCACCCCGCACTGTAAGAGAAGTCCAAAAACTCACCGGTTGCCTGGCAGCATTGGAGAGATTCCTCAGCCGATCTGGCGACAAATGCCTCTATTTCTTCCAAGCAATTAGGAAGAGGTCAAGGTTTGAATGCGGAGAAGAGGCTGAGGCGGCATTTCAGAAGCTCAAGCAGCATCTGCATTCTTTACCAAGGCTAGTGAGCCACCTACCCCAGGAGGCTCTCTACATGTACCTAGCTGTCTCAGATCACTCCCTTAGTGCTGTTCTCCTTGCTGAGAGAGACGGCAATCAACTCCCGGTGTATTTCATCAGTCATGTCCTTAGAAAGGCTGAGCTCCGGTACCCTATGATTGAAAATTTTGGGTTGGCCCTCTACAAAGCAGTCAAGTGGTTGAAGCCATACTTCGTGGCTCATCCGGTAACTGTATACACTGATCAGCCACTCAAGCGCCCAATGACCACCATAGTCATCCGATAGAATGATCAAATGGGTTGTTGAAAGACAAAGCCTGGAAATAACTTTCGAACCCAGGCGGGCAGTGAAAGGTCAGGCGTTTTCCGACTTCATTGTCGAGATGAATAGGCCGGTGCAATCGGAAAGCTCTGATCAAGTTTGGAAGTTGTTTGTAGACGGTAGCTCTACATCGAACGGCTGTGGTGTAGGCGTTATTTGCCATTCTCCGGAAGGGGATAAGTTTGAATATGCACTACGGTTTAAGTTCCAAGCCTCAAATAACGAGGCAAAATATGAAGCCCTGCTAGCTGGCATACGTATGTGTAAGGCGGCTGGAGCAAGGAAAGTTGACGCCTACTCAGACTCTCAATTGATCGTTAGCCAGTACCACGGTGACTATGAAGCCACCCATCCGGCTATGATCAAATATCAGCAGGCGGTCAGAGAAAAGGCTGCGTCCCTTGATGAATTCCATTTGAGTCAAGTGCCACGGTCTGAAAACAATCAGGTGTATGCGCTCTCAAAATTGGCATCATCCACCTCCTGTGATGCGCCTAGGACAGTCTTTTGGGAAGTCATGGAAAAAAGAAGCATTGAGCATGATCCCATTGGAATTGTGGACTGATGCACCACCTGGATGGACCCCATCCGGACTTATCTGACAAACGACTCTTTGCCGAATGTCCCTTCAGAAGCAGATGCACTTAAGAAAAGAGCTTTGAGCTTTGTTATGCACCAAGGAGAACTTCTCCGGAAGGGGTACTTGCAGCCATTTCTGAAGTGTGTGACCCCGGAAAGGGGAAAGGAAGTCTTGGAAGATCTGCACGCGGGTTTTTGTGCCTCACATATAGGCGGCAGATCCCTGGCTAAAAGAGTCAGGCGGCAAGGATATTTTTGGCCCACTGTTGAGGCAGATGCCCTGGATCTGGTAAAGAGGTGTGACAAGTGTCAACGGTTTGGCCGGTTGATACATCGTCCGGCAACAGACCTTACAGCTATACACAGTCCGGTCCCGTTTGCAAAAATGGGGCATGGATATCTTGGGACCTTACACGCCTGCATCAGGCGGTCGACGCTACATCTGGGTAGCCGTAGACTACTTCACCAAATGGGTTGAAGTAGAGGCAGTCAAAGGCATAAAGACCAAGGATGTGATCTCCTTCATTTGGAAAAACATCATCACCCGGTTTGGGTTCCTATGTCAATGGTCTTTGACAATGGTCCTCAATTTGAAACGCCTGTGCTTAAGGGCTGGTTGGGGGATCAGGGAATCTCCCATTGCTTTGCGTCTATAGGCAGACCCCAGGCAAACGGACAAGTTGAGGCCTTCAATAAGATTATCTCAGACAGCATTAAGAAAAAAGTTGAAAAGGCTGGTGGCCTATGGGCAGAGGAATTGCCTCATGTTCTTTGGGCTATCAGAACAACTGAGAAAGGGGCAACCGGTGAAACCCCGTTTCTTGTGACATACGGCATTGAGGCTATTCTCCCTATCGAGCACTATGAGCCAACCCTCCGCATCATGTTGTATGATGAGGAGGCCAATTGGGAGGCCATGTGTCTTGCCTTGGATGCTCTTCCAGAACGAAGGAGCAACGCCGCCTTACGACATGAGGTCTACCATCTGAGAATGACCAGAGCCTACAACAAGCGGGTACATAAGCGGCCTTTGAAAGTAGGGGACTTTGTACTCCGCAAAATGGAGGCAACCGGTAGGGAAAATGAGCAGGGCAAGCTAACCCCAAACTGGGAGTGCCCCTACCGGATTTTTGAAGAGGTTAGAGTTGGCACATACCGCCTAGAAACCCCAGACGGTAGGAGGTTTCCTAGGACTTGGAATGTAGACAACTTAAAGAAGTACTACTTCTGAGAATTGTAAATTGTAAATCTTTTGTAATTACCGAATGATTAATGGGAAAATGTGGTTCATTACATGTCTGTATACCTATGCTAGGTCTTGTGCTTACCACAAGCGGCTTCCATCACATAACTCCCATGAGCCATGTCTTGTGCTTAACACAAGCGACCTTCATCATTCAATTCCCATACGCCATGTCTTGTGCACCACACAAGCGGCACACTTATCATTAAAAACATCCGGTGACGCCCATACGGGTGAATTCACCGAAGAGAACATCTCCCTTTCGGTTGGTAAATTATTCTAGCGATCATAACTCAGGCGGTTATAATAAATGGAAATTAAGTCATTTATTTCCACTTGAATGATCCATCGCATCAAAGAATAGCTGACTAGCACTCCTAGAAGTACAGCCGGTTTATTCTTTGAAATGCAGTACCAACAGAAGCTAGCTCCCAAAAAAGGCAGCCGGTACTCCCAGTACATCTAGACCACCGCCTGCCCCTTCTGAAGAGGCAGGCGCAGAATAAACATGTTACGCACAAGCAAATTTTACGAACAAGAATCACACACGGTTCACAATCAATGTTAGCAAGGCCCTAAGCTTTGGGCTCCTAACGAAAAAACGCAGCCTGAAACCAGACAAAACAAGATACATACGGTACCTAAAAAAAAAACCGTGTTTTCACCCGGGTTGTACATGTTTAAATATTGACGGTCCCTAACCGGGGGCATACGGATAGCCGCCTAGCTGAGTGCAGCTCTACCTGTCACCTATCCTGGGGACAATATTCCTAACCCCACCCCGGCTCTGGTTCACATGGTAATAGTACTTGAAGAAATTTCTAAGCAAAATTTAAAGAAGTGTAAATAGGAGAAATCATTCAACAAAGCCGGCACAGCCGGTGAGAAAATATATATATTAATATCCGAAATAAAATACAATGGCGGAATAAGCCGACTCATCCGGCGCGATTACAAGATAATGCACGGCGCGCAGGCCGAGAGGTCGTTGCTATTCTATCTGCACGGTCACCCGGTCACTCGGAGCCTGAGTCCCTTCCGGGTGTGACGGGTCAATGATGGGGACGGAGCCAGGAGCAACTTCATCTTGAATAGCCTCCTCGTTAGCGGCCGCTTCCTCATCAATCCTTTTGAACTTCGCCTCAACCCACTTCTCATAGTATTCAGGCCCCGGCTGATTCTCCTCTTCAGCCAGAATGGCAAGATCTACATATTTGTAGGCGAGCTCCCAGACGTTGTAGTCTGTACCCGGATGGATAATGGAGAACGCCCTCTTCATTCTGTTCTCGCAGTCTTGCTCATTCTCCTCAATGAGCCGGCTTTGTTCTGCTTCAAGGGTGGCCTGGAAGTTGCCCTTTGTAGCAGCCGCCTCTTTTATCAGGCGGTCATTCTCTTGTTGCAGGCGGGTGCTGGCCTTCTCCGCCTGATCCATCCGTTTGAAGGGCTCCTCATGTTCCTTGAGCTCCTTCTCGGCATTGTCCAGCGCCACCTTGACATTGTCAAATTTGACCTTGGACTCATTGAGGGCCTTCTGGAGGGTCTTGACCTGGTCTGCCTGTCGCATGATTATAGATTTAGTTTCTAAGTCATGCACAATCATTGAATATTCAGCAACATTATGTGCGTCATCCGCCAGACGTTTGGCACTCCTTACCTTCTCCCGTTTGCGTATGTAGGCCTTTTTGAGCCCTTCCACGCGCAGCAGTGCCTGCAACAATACAACCGGCGTTAGTAGAAAAACCGGATGTGCATACATCAAATAAAATGTCGGTGGGTACTTCAAGCTTACATCAGCTAGCTCGACCATTACACGGTCGGCGTTGAAGGTGTTGATCCCAGGGATCGCCTCCTTCTTTTCCCGGGGGACGGCTTTCAGCATGGCTCGGGCATACTGAGCTACATCCGGCCAGCGGGGGGAATTATCTGCACCAGAAACAGACGGTGAGAAAGCTGCATATGCTCCGCCTATTGATTGCCGGCTGATTGGAGAATCTCCCGGTTGAGACTGAGAATAAGACTTAACCCGCATGGGCAGGTCAAACAGCGCGAGGTTGAAGGGATTTGTTCCTTGTTGTTGGAGACCTCTCAAGCCTCCGTCAGTAGAAGGACCGGTTGAGGTCCTTATTGGTGTGACCTCTCTTGAGGCCACAACTTCAGCAGTAGACCCGCCTGGGGTCTTTATTGATTTACCGCCGGTAGAGGGCCGGGCGGCGGATGTGGTCTTCTGCACCTTAGATGCAGGCTCCACTACAGTCGGCCTTGGCCGAATCTGCTTCTGTAGGGAGCGAGGAGCTTTGCTCCCATCCTGAAACGAAGTAACAAACGGTCAGGTGGACAAAACAAGCAAAAAACGGGAGTAAAGCAAACAAATCAAAGATAAGTCAGACGATCTAACCTTCTTAGCCGCCTGAGCAACATGTTTTTTCTCCAGATTCTCCTTACAGATGTCTGAAGCCTTCCTAGCAGGCGTTTTCTCTATTGGTAACATGTTCTTTGCTTCTTCTGCAAAACACAAATCAAATACGTCCGGTCAAGGTCAGGACAATAGCAAACAGGCATTGTAATCAAAAGAAAATTGTCATCCGGCGTAAATAAGCCGGATGAGGCTTTTAACCTACGTTTTTCGAACATGCTGCTAAGCCCGCAGGCGGACAAAAAGGCTTCATCCCTTAGAAACTCATGTTTAGGCACCCAGTTTCTGGGCACCCTTATTACCTCTCCGGTTGAGAGGGTGGAAGGGACGAGCTCGAAAAAGTGGGAGTCCAATATTGCTTCTCTATCCCTCTCCGGCACTGGGGGCATCCGGCATTTCTGCCCCAAAAGTTCAGGTTTCCGGTTGTATGTCCGGAACTCTCTGTTTTCCTTGTTGGTTGGAGCCTTGACCAGGTAGAAACGACTCTTCCAGTCCGACCACTTAGACGGTTTGTCGAGCGTCATGAGGTACTAGGGGTAAGTGGTCAGGGTGTACCAGGCTCTCCAGCCACCTGGGCTCCTACTCAAGTAATGCATATGGGCAAACGCCTCCCAGCCGGGGTTCAGATCCTGCATTTCGCAGGCGGTGATGTACCCAAGAATATTCACCCAAGAGTTGGGGGTGAGTTGCCAGATGCCCAGGCCATACCCCCTTAGTATGGCCTTTATCGTGTCATGAAGAGGGAAGTGGAGCCCTGCTAAGAATGCCGCCTCGTAGCAGCCAAACCGGCCATCTGCATTGTGCTGGTCATCCTCCCAAGCAATTGTCCCCTTCTCGGGCGGGATCACCAATTTATATCCCGCCCCAAGGGGCCGTTTGAGGACGAAATCTGCCAAGTTGCTCCGCATCATGGCCCTATCTTTGGCAGAGACGGTGATCATCAAAGGATCACCCTTAGTTTGCCAAGAGGGTCTCTCCTCCTCCTCACTATCGATGGATGGTGTTAGAAAGCTAGAGCTGCTCTCCATAGGTCCGAGTGCAGAGCCGGAAGCGGAGGAGGAGGCCTCCTAGGATGTGTTTTTTCGCTCTACGGAGGCGGCTTCCTTACCGCCTCCCTGATCAGAGCCTAGAATGCCATCACTAGGTGTACTAGGAGTACCTCCGGGAGAACCCACGGCCGCCTCGTTAGGGGCCCTCTCATCAGGCGGCAACTCGTCAGAGCCACCGCCTCTGTAATTGGGGTCCACAGCCGTCTTCCTGGTTCTGGCCATTGTGTCCTGCACAGACACGGAGACGGTCAGATTGGGAGAAAAGCAAGGCAAATCCCAGAGTCTATAGGCGGTATTTCCAGTCCTAGACTCAGCCGTACTAACAGACCGGCTGGTCTCATTATTATGTTCCGGATGGGGGTATAAAGGGTCCATCTAACTATGGGACAAATAAACGAGAAAATAAACAAAAGACTCAAGCGTAAATACATGGAAGATCTTGAAAGAATAGAGGCGGTACCTAAAAGAAAGAAGGAGAAAACCGCTTTGTCGCTGAGAATTTCTTGGGTTTGCTTGCGAAGACACAGGCGTCTCTTGAGCCGGCTGTGTTGTTTGAAGTACAGATGCAAATTTGGCTTGCTATCAAACCCCCCAGACGGTTATAAATCGGATGCTCACGCGGAAACTACCTCAGAAATACTCTCAATACCGGCTGCTCTCAAAAATCAGAAAATTTTCAAAGTTTGTAAATGAGGGCTTGGGGAGGGGACTTGGCTATTTATAGGCTCCTCCTCAAAAGGTGAAGAGTCCTGACTCTTCACCTTCTTCTTCTCCCGCCTTTTCACCCAAGCAGCCAGAATCCAAGAGATTAAAAAAATAAAAAAAAATAAAAAAAAAAAACTCTTCACAGGTGCCACGTGGCACAGCCACGTCAGCACCCGTGAGGGGCAAATGTTTAGGGTAAAAATACCCTAGACATGTGGCCCAATGGGCTGGTGACACGTGGCATATCGCCATTGGTCAACTCCAATCCCCTGTTGACACGTGTCCTTGGAGTCTTCCATGAGTAGTTTATCTGTCCCACCATAAATAGTGGGACAACCCTCATTTATTGGGGATTCATAAATACAAACGCTAATAGCGAGCAATATTAATTGCGGAATTCTCCCAATCAGCGAGAAGAACTTTACCTATTCCGTATTCTTTCCTCCTGTACGTATACTAACTTGATCGTCGGAGGCGAAGCTCCTACCAACCGGAGTTTTCGTGATCTTACAGGTATAGGCATCGGCAGCTCAATCTTGGAATCATAACTCTCCTGCAGGACACCTTAAAAAACCCCGAAACAATCATCATATAAACTTTAATCACAATTATAAGCCCATTGGAGTATAAACTTCTTCTTGTAAGCCTTCATCATAATTATAAACTCGTCATACCATAAACTTTCACATATAACACAAATGTTGTATAGGACTAATGCATGCAATATGAAATGTAGAATTCATGATAAAACATTAAGCAAAATATATATGTAATGAGTAATGCATCAAACTACATCCTATACATACAATGAGTAAGTCATAAATTTAAAACTCAAACATGCATATAAAAAAAGACTTAAAAATACAAACACTGGTACAGTGTGGATTTCAGAAATCCATTTTCTATTTGGACTACTAGTCCACGATAAACTTTTGATCATTAGCATTCATATTTCATTGGACTTCTTGTCCATGATAAGCTTTTGATTTATTATCTTAGTTTCATGTCGACATCAAAATGGACATATATTTCTGATCCCGTATGCACAAGTCCATTCCTTCTGCATATGCATATTATATATCGGTTCCATCATTTACCGGTATCATCTAATTCCTCAAAGATACAATTTTAATTTGCATGCTATTTTGACAATGATATCTGAATACGTTTCTCATTTGGTACCATCATAACTTTTCTTACATCATAGGCCATCTATTGTAATAATTCAGATATCTATATCACTTTTGGGTATTTCATACACTATGATATTTATATATTATTACAACATTAAAAGTGTTAACCGCACTATCTTGCCACATGTCATATATTTATTTTAGAACTGATCATACAACCCACACTTTAGGTTTAGTGATTCAAGTATAATTGGCAAGATTTTATCTCAATGTATACACATAATATGACCAAAATATATCTTCAACGCTATGCAACATGAGTCATAACTGAATACAAATCAAATCATAAATGTGCAACATATCTTGATAATACATAGACAAAAGTTGGCATATAACTTTTCAAACTACCTTTATAGGGATCACCAATTATATATTTTCCGAATTTTCCAACTTTTGCTAATTTTTCTCCCCCTAAGTTGGTAAAATATCTCATTTATAGGGGCGTCTAATTCTATACCAACTTAGTATTGCATTAAAATTCATCTCATGCGAGGATCAAAATCAAAATTTATCTCTCAGAAGATTTGTATTAAACAACATTTATCTCTTCTGGAGAAGAATCATTTCTTTATTAACATTTTCCATAATATGGTTCTCTTCTGTCAATGGAGAGACATTTATTATGCATTTGTCTATTTTCTTATTCTATTTCTTATGTGCTGACATAAAATAGCCCAAATCAAGAATAATGAAATCACTTGTGTGTAAAGCCACTATATAGTGATCTCTTGGATCTTTGAAGATTTAAATAGTGTATTTGGTGAGCTTCTGATCATCTAATACTTGACAATAATATATAAGTTATTTTGGTGAACTTCTGGTCACCTATTGCTCTTTCTTATATATGAAAATCAAAACCTATTAACTCTTAAAATTTTCATCAACACAAATTATTATAGCTCAATCTCAATGTTATGTCTTGTCATTCAATTCATTTCATATATCTAACATTGAGATAGTGTCAGCACATTATCAAATGAAACTTCAGGTTTCATAACGGGTAATTATTAAACCCGGATGGCCTAATTTAACTATCAAATCCAATCACTTCTCTGAATTTGAACTTTGGTCAGTTTTCCAACACTAGTGTTCACTTTATTAAACTTACTTTATGCAATCTTAATACATGTTAATCTTGTTGGATATTTCATACTCTTCAGGAATCTCTTATATTATCATAAAACATATGAATTTTACAAAAAGTGATTTCTTCTAGAAATGAAATGGGATTTATCACTTCCTAAAATTTGTCATTGTCAATAGTGGCTCCCTTCCTTTTCAAAGATATGTAATTATCTTTAGAACCTATTGATTTATCACGCTTCAGGCGTGCTATAAGTTCATCAATAATTGATGTTGTCATTCTGGACATCAATTTTAATTGGAGTATTTACAACTAGTATATGATCAATGACATTTATTTATATCCATCTTCAAGACGGTATCATTTCAAAATATTTAATTAACATGTGGCCACTTCTATAAAATAAATCGTTGATATGTATGTATCAAACTGACCATTAATATATTTTATTATTTATACATACAATCTCCCCCTAATCCTTGCATATGGGGGTATGGAATCAATCCAACAACCTTTAAAATCCTTGCCCCTTTTAAGCTATAAATTCTTTTGGCAATGTCATGTATCAAGTAACGTTTTCCTTTTAGCAAAAACATGCTTAGATAATATTATACTTAATTATAGAACACTTAATCATGTCCTCTTGCCCAATTACATTCATCTTAAAAAAAACCTTTTATATTTATGGGCATAATAAAACGTTGATCATGTAAAGTTTCTCAAATGTCATGTTGCATATTATAAACTCATAAACATTATTTCTTGGCCAATAGTAGATATGTACAAGTAAATGTTTTCGCAATTCTAATTGAACTTTTCAATGAATTGTAATCATGAAAACATCATACAAACTTGCTTTCTTTCAATCACATGAACTCTCATTCAAAAGGAACTTCGGGTCCATATGCATAAGTATTTCATGTTCAATCTACTCATCATCATTCATATAGTTCAACTTAATGCGGGCATAGAGTATCATATATATAATCGAATCCTATCACACATTAATCAATATTTCAACAATGAAATCGTGTCAGTATTAAACAAAAATTAAAACTTAGTCCCAAAAATGGAGGGGGTATACAATTATAGAGTATTAGTTACTAGTAGTACAATACTTGTCTTGACCATTTCGTAAAAATTATATTTATCGCATGTAATAGACATTATTGTCATCACAAACAATACTAATTCATCAATCAATTGCTTTTCCATCTAATTAATAAAATAAATGAATTGTCTTCAAATTCAAAATTACTTTGAATTTCTTTAGCATTGAACTTAATACACCAATATAGTAATATACCAAACACATGCCATCTATATCTATAAAATAAACATACCTTGAGAAATGTATAATATTATAAACGATGAATTAGAAATTAGCTTAGATAAATATATTCATAATTTATAAACTATCATGAGTAATTAATAACCTTAGATTATTAATAGTAACATATCACATTCACAAAAAAATATCATGCGATAAAGCTAATCAAGTCTGGTAGCAATCAATAGGCATAATCATGAAATAAAAACAATGATTATAATAGCATAATTCGTTTATAATACCTTTATAAAACCAAATACAAAGTAAACAATAAGAAACAACCAAACTTGTCCAAGTTAAAACTAAGATTATTCTTTATAACCAAAACCAATGAAATAACTAATCCAACCAAATGCAATTCTAATACTTTGTAACATAGTTTATCACACGCTTAACAACCATTTTCTCTAAATCACACCTTCCTGATATTCACAGACTCACTCAACATCAAAGGAAACAAGGCACACCACAAAAATTGCGATCTTCAATTCAATACTCTGTATGAGCTAGTGGGTACTAAAGAAGTGATGAATGAAAAACTCTCAGCTTATCATAGAATAAAAGTACTTGGGTTTTCATTAAATCCTATAACACATATCTAACAGTCAAGCTTTGGTGCCTAATTTAAGAAGAATTTAGTTAACATCTTATGTATTTCATAGGAATTTAGCTAGATCCAAAAATAATCTACAGCAATTAAAACAGTTCATAATTAATAAGCTTGAACACTCTATGGTGATGGTAAACCACACACAATTGGAAGTAGCAGGTTGTGTATATTAGATCATCATGTCCGAGAATTTAAAACTGAAAAAAAATAAAGTCAATATACTATGATCATCACATAATTTAACAGAGATTGATGATGAAACCACCGATTTCATTCTCCAAAATTATAGCTATTCAAATAAGACAAATTAGTCGAAACAAATCAATAGTTAGCCATATTCAAATACGACAACTTAGCTGAAACAAATCAATAGCCATATCCCAAATTAAATAAACTTCATATTTCCTTTCAATAAAAAAATGGAGCATATAAATTAAATCAATCAAATAACTAGTCTAATAACCTATAATTATTTTATTTCAAGAAGGGCAATAATCTGATAAATTCAGTAAAATATGGAGAAAAGAATATAGGGATACCAGTAAAGTGACGGAAGTATAATATATCGCTGGACCAAATAACTTTCTTGCATATAATGAACTGTGTGATAACACCACCACTACGAATAGCTTTTCATCGTGCAATCCTCGTTAATAAAATTAGCCGTCTGTATTTCAGTTTGTCTCTTCCTTTTCCTTCCAAATACAGACTTAAAACTCCACTCACTCCTCAAACCTCACACCTTCTTCTTCTTCTCCTCAATTTTCAAAATACTTTTAGGAGACACAAATTCAAACCCCACATTCACCATCAGATGATTCCAGAAACCCAATTCACCTTCCTTCAACCCCCCCAAAATTCAAAAAAGCTTCGATTTTTTTTTCTTTTCATTAATGGCGGCTGGTTGGGTTAAATCATTGCACTGCAAATCAAGAGTAGTTGAAGATGTTTTCCCGTATTAATCGGTCGTCTCTGTTTCGCCAAGCGCCACGTAATTTAGTTGGCAAAACGAATCCAATTTGAAGATTAGCCATTAACGAATACAAAACAAATCATACTAAAAATGTAGATCGTTGAATTATGAGTCCGATTATTTTGACAGAAACTCATTATTCAAATCTCAAAAACGACGATCTGGAAAATTTAGAGTTGCAGAGTTTTAGTTTAGAAGGAGAAGAGATTGAGGAGAGAAACATTATGGAAAACGGTTGATTGAGGGAAGTTAGCAATAATGTATATGTATAGGAATCAAAAGAGTTATTAATTATTTAGAGATTTGGTGCTGATAACGTGTTATGAAATTAAAGAGAAAGGGAAGAAAGTAGGGGAGAGAATAGATCTATATTCTTATTGTTGAATGATATGGGAGTACATATGTATATATACATGTGATACAATTAGGGTTTCCTTGTAGCATAATAAACATAGTACATCTAGAATATTCTAGAATTATCATATGGTCAACCACTAAATACATATATTATATAACATAATCGATTTTTTTTTTTATTTTACAACATCTTTTTCACCGATTCAAACTGAACCGGTGCGATTAACTCATTTTTTGCACCGGTTTGGTTAGAACCGGTGCAAAAACTCTTTCCCTCAATCCCGTCTTTTTATTTCGCACCGGTTTTTAAAAACCGGTTCGCATTTGGCGGTGCCCATTTAAGTTTTTCTACTAGTGACTAGACTGAGGTGGTTTGCTGGGAGCACTAGATTCTTTCACCTTCCCTGACTTAACATCAACCTCTTTCTTGTAACACTCATACTCACGGTGTCCCAACCACTGACAGTAACGACAAGTTACCGGCTTTCCCTCACAATCCTTCCCTAGGTGATCTTTCTCATACTGCTTGTAGAAATACTTTCTTTGAGGCTTCTCACTCCTTTGATTCCCATTTCCCCTAGAATTGGACGACTGTCCTCCATTTCCTTTCCCAAAGCTCCCCTGGCCTTGTTGTCCCTCATATCTCCAGAATTTCCTTGGTAGTTACCATTGGACTTAAGCCTCTTTTCACCCCCGTGAAAAGAGTTCGGGTTCTTCCTTTTCTCTCCAACATGTTCCATTTCCCTCCCCTTGATTCCGTACAGGTGGGCTGCACGGCCATAGACTTCATCTAAGGTCTCAAAGGTAACTCCCCCTAGCTTCCCTTGGAGGGTCAGGGTTACGCCTTGCTCAAATCTCTAAGCTTTAATGGTTTCAGTAGGGACCGCTTCCGAGGAAAACCTCATTAACTCAATGAACTTGTTGTAGAATTCATTGATAGACATGTTCCCCATCCTCAAGTTGGTAAACTCCACGCATTTCTGCTTTCTCAGGTAGGAAGGGTAAAACTTCTCCCTTAAGGCTTCCTTAAACTCCTCCCACCCAAAGTTTAGTCTCTTCAACAGCTCATCCTTTCTTTGGGCCCACCATAAGTCAGCTTCCTCCCTCAAATAATAAACACCATTGTTCACCCTTAGCTCACTTGGGCAATTAATAACATCAAACAACTTATCGAACTCCCTAATCTAGTTTTCAAGACTAGCTGGGTTTTCTTTTCCCAAGTAAGTGGTTTGGCTGCAGCAACTCTCTTAAAAACTTCACTGTAAGAGTTAACGTTAGAATTTCGGTCTCCCTTGTTCACCACTTTTGTGATGTTTTCAATGATATGGGTTAACTTTCTAAGGACCTTCCCTACTTTAGAACCAGTGCGCTTACTTCTAACATGGTCTCTCATCCTTGAAGACATACTTCCTGGGTATACTTTGAAAATTAAAGCAAGTTCTACTCACATAAGCATTTAATTCACTTAGTAACATAGAGAAAATTTCAATAAAAAAAATTTCATCTCATTAATAATTAAAGAAAAGTATAACCTTGCCATTTAAGGCAATTATTAAAGAAATAAACATAATCATTGTTCAATCATTCAAGCAACACTTTCAGCATAGTCATCTTCATCCGGATCATAGTTAGGATCATCTCGCTTGGACTTATCTCTAACACTTGGGTCAGTCATGAAAGTTGGGTTATAGCTACTATAGCTTGGAGTACGACCTGGTGAACTTGACCCAAATTCGCTTAGATTGTTGTCCGGGCCTGGAGTGTAACTTGGACTTTTGGTTGGGCTTACCTCACCACGAGGTTGGTTTGAAGAAGCATTGGGCTTTTGATCTTTTGGACTTGGTGATTTTTTATTGACAACTTGGGTATGAGTTATTGGCCTTTTTGCAACATGAAAGTGGACTTTTGAACTTGGACGTTTTGGAGGTTCATAGCTTGGAGTACGTTTATTATTTTATAGCTGCAAACAGACGTAATCAAAATAAGTAATTATGCTCCAATTTTTTTTATTATGCTACTAACAATTTTTATCATGATTTTGGTATTTATTCTAATCGTTATGTTTCTATGGCTTAATTGCTTCCAATATTATCATGTTGTATTTTATTTATTATTATTGATCACCTTTTGCATGTTTAATGAGAATATGTAATTGCTTCCAATATTATCCTTACAGAAGACTTCGCAAGCCAACGCTCGTTGCGGGCTTGCTGTCGCGCGGTGCAAGCAAGCCTACTGCGAGAAACCAGCATGCGGGCTTGCTGGCACACCATGCTATTGCTGCTTGCGGTAGCACAAGGCTGCCCAGCCAGCCCGCAACCAAAGCAAGCAATACGCTAAGCCTTGCAAGGGCTGTTGGTGGCCTAGTGCTCGCGGCTTTGGACTTTAGGGGTGTCCATTTGGTTTGGATTTAGCCCAAATCCAATCATGATCCGAAATAAAATTCGGGTTTCAATTCTCAAATCCAATCTCATCCGAATTTCTTACCAAATTCAATCCGATCTAATCCAAATTATAATTCGGTTATTTGAATACAATCCGAAAATCTGATTAAAATACGATGCGGCCTAATGCGATTATAAAAAAAATTCAATTATAAAAATTCAATTTGAAAAAGCATAGTATACATGATTAATATAAGTATTGAAAACATAGTTTTGCATGATTAATATTATTGTAATTATAAGCATAGTTTAACATGATTAATAATTAACAATCCTTATTTATAAAATAACGGTTTCACATTTCGGTTATTTCGGTATTTTGGATACAAACAAAGTCAATCCGATCGATCCGAAAATCTGAATTTTAAAAAAATTTCAATCTGATCCAATCAAAATTAAAGTTCAGATCCGATCTGAATTCATAATTCGGTTTAGATTAGATTGGATTTCGGTTTTTAGTCTGAATAATGGACACCCCTATTGGCCTTTGCCGCACATGTGTAGTACGGCACAATGTGTATTTGATTATTTTGCCGTCTCGTCGATTCCTAGAATTGTCTCGACGTTCGGTTTCGACGCTCTCAGAATCCGACGTCTGAGTACAAATTATCTTGATCGACGTATTAAGACCTTTGGCTTAATTCCTCGCCTTAGTTCAATGGCACGCTTGGGTGTGGCCCGTTGGATTCAGTCAAAGGAAAGTTGTGAGATTATATAATTACTCTCATTGATTGGAGATGCATGGCCTCTAGCCCAACTTTCTGATCACTTGACTTCACTAAATAATAACTCTGTAAATAATTCAAAATCCTATATCGGAATAATAAACTTGTTCGAAGGACACCATTCCTTTCAGAATTATCTAGATAGACTTAAGCATTACAACTTGTGAAAAGGTTTCATCATAATTAAGGCCGTGAATTTCCTGTAACCTTTTTCCTCCAGTCTAGCTTTGTATACATATACATTTCCATCTTTGTTAGTTTTCATCTTGAAAATTCATTTACAACTGATAATTGTGTAACCTTCGGGCAAATCAACCAAGTTCCAGACTTGATTTTTAAACATGGAATCAATCTTGGACTTCATGGCCTCTAACCACTTTGTAGAGTCGGGGCTTGTCATAGCTTGCTTGTACGTTGCAGGTTCATCACTATCCAACACTAGGATTTCGCGATTCTCGATTAACAAGACACCAAGGTATATGTCCAGTTCAATTCTTTGATTTTGCAACCTACGCGGGGCGATAGGTTGAGCATCAACATTGTCGGGTTGACTCTGACTTTCACCAACAGGTGTTTCCAAAGCCCTTTCTGTGTCAGGTTCCTTTTGTTGCTCATCTTCTCAAACTTCATCAAGTTGGATTTTTCTCCCATTATTGGAAAGATGTTCCTTTGTTCTTAGATTGGTTGTAGAAGTATACCCCTTTGTTTCTTTTGGATACCCCACAAATAAACATTTATCTGATTTTGGTGCAAGCTAGTCAGACACGAGTCTCTTGACGTATGCTTCACAACCCAAAATCATTAGAAAAAGCAACCCGGAGGTTTCTTCATTCATAATTCATATGAAGTCTTTTGAACAGCTTTTGATGGAGCGCGGTTCAGTGTTAGTGCTGCTGTTTGAAGTGCATGTCCTTAAAGGATATTGGAAGATCGGCTAAACCCATCATTGATCGAACCATGATATGTCTATTCCTCCTCTTGGACACCCCATTCCATTGTGGTGTTTCGGGAGGTGTCAACTTTGAAAGAATCCCATGTTCTTTCAGATGGTCGTCGAATCCATGGCTAAAATATTCGTCACCTCAATCTGATCAAATTGCTTTGATTTTCTTGCCAAGCTGTTTCTCTACTTCACTCTGAAACTCTTTGAACTTTTCAAAAGATTCCGATTTGTGCGACATTAGGTAGACATATCTGATTAGGGGATTTTTCCCCATCAATCACCATCTGACAAGTGGACCAATCAGGTTCCGCCATGTGTCCGTCACATGGGCCAATAGGAGCCTGCCACGTGTCAAGCAATGATCCGTCCACTATGGACCAATTACGACACGACACGTGTCCTTCCCATGACACTTGGGATAACCGGTCACCTAGGCCTAACTTCCGAGGGAAGCCCAATCAGCCCAAGGTTAACCTAAACCTAGGATTGGCACGCTTCTCAAAGACTATAAATACTTAATTAATCCTCATTAAAGGGGATTCAGCAATTGATGACTCTCACCTAGAGAAGTTTAAACACATTGATCACTCCTCCCCTAGAGGAACCAGATCTCCCACCTTTACTTTCCGCATTTATTACTCCTCAAACAAGTACTAACTTGATCGTTGGAGGCGGAGCTCCCACCACAAGGAGTCTCCGTTTGTTTTGCAGGTACAGGCGTTCGGTTCCAGTCTCGGAATTGTAACTCTCCCGCAGGACATCAGAAAACCCCGAAACATTTGGCGCCGTCTGTGGGGAGAGTACTTCTGAGATGGCATCCACGTTTGTACCGGCTCCTGAAGAGAGACGTCCCCTGGACGACCCTCTAGTTCAGTCGGACCACGATACTGAGAATGAATTTGAAGTTGAAGCTCACACAGCTTCAGACGGGACCCTAAGGGCCCGACGTACCCGTCATACCGAAAGGAGGGAACGGGAACATCTTCATACAGGAAGCGAGCCAGCAGGCGCACCGCCTGTTCAGCAACAGCCGATTGATGGGTCTTCTCCCATCACAAGGAGTGAACTCATGACCTTTATGAGGGACTTCAAGGGAGAAATTCAAGAGTTGATCAACAAGAAGCCGCCTGCTCTGGACAAGGAGCAGTCGGCTAAGAAACCCTCCACTTCACAGAAGAGGAAGCCAGTTCAAGGGCGAGAGGCGACTCCTCATCCTAAATCTAGGAAGCGGGAGCCGACTGCCCTTGATTTCACAAAATACCGTTTTCCTACTCCAGGAAATAGGAAACCTGTTCGTCATATTCAGGCGGACGGGTCGAGGAAATCATACACAAACGCTCGGCTACTGCTAGAGCAGAAGAAGAGTGTCCGATTGTCAGAGTCGGCCTCTACTTCAAACTTCCAAGACAGTCTG